AAGTCCTCTTTCGTGAGTGTCTTTAGTTGCACTGTTGTGGCTGCCTCAATGTCTTGAATCATTTTGACTTTGGGGAAGAGCCAGAAGTCACATGGTGCCAGATCTGGTGAATAAGGTGAGTGAAGACACACTGTAATGTTTTTATTTGACAGAAATTGCCTTATACCAGAAGCGATGTGTGACACGGAGCATTGTCATGATGGAAGATGAAACTGTTTGCCTATTTTATGTTAATGCGTTGTTTGTGATCCAAGATTTATGGCACACTTTAAAACACACTTTCTCTCAACTGTAGCTCACACTCGGTTGATTGCACCAAACAAGATGAAATTCGTCACACACTGTTACTAAGGTTCAATGCGTCACTTCCTGTATTGACAAACACCACTGCCTTTCCATTAGATGGCATTTGGCAGCAGCATTCACTGTAGTTTTTGATCACATGGAAAGGCTCCATGTCATCCATCGCTTCTGGTACAGCAATTTCTGTCAAATAAAAGCATTACGGTATATCCTCATCCCCCTTATTCACCAGATTTGGCACCGTGCCAGACTTCTGGCTCTTCCCCAAAGTCAAAATGACCATGAAAGGTAGACATTTTGAATCGATTCGAGACATTGAGGCAGCCATAACAGTGCAACTAAAAACACTCATGAAAGAGGACTTCAGAACCGCTTCAGAAAGTGGCAAGAACAATGGGATAAGTGTGTTTGAAGTGAGGGGGGTATTTTGAGGGAGATTAATGGCAATGTGTCTTTTACTGTATTTCTTGATCACTCCTCGTACACATATGGAATCATTATGTTGTAGACCTCAAACTAATATAATATAATGTTATATATCAATTATATCTCAATTAAAAAATGTACAAAGTGTGCAAGTTTCCAAATGTTCAGCAATAAAATATGTATGTATGTATGTATGTGCAAAAAAGAGGAAACTATTACATAACTGAGAAAACAGTATAACTTGTATATTATGTTATAAAAAAATGATTGTTCTAAATGGCTACTCAACCTATGCTGTCCTCAATATGAAAGGTTATAGAGGAGTTAAAGGTTGGTAAGCAGCAAACTGAGACTTTCTCCTAGAGATGGACCAAAGGATTGAAACAGACTTGAAATGAGACTTTACTATATAATGCAACTTTAGTTGATGCTCTGCCATATACCACCTAAAAACATTGCATGCATTCCACCCTGTGAAAAACAGTAGGTTAGGATGCTAATGCCTCCTACTTAAATATATAGCTCTTGGGCCAGCCGAGTGGTGCATTGGTTAAGAGCTGGCTTGGGACACCAGCTCTGAGCAGCAGGGCCCTGGTTCGGATCCCATATGTGGGCCAGTGACACTAATGTGAACAACAGCTCGACCTGGAGCTGGGCTGCCATGAGCCTCCCGCAACGGCGTAGGCTGTAGCCCCTGCTGCAATGGGCTGCCATGAGCTACCATGAGTGGCTGGCAGTCAGTGTGAGCAGCCGGCAGCCGATGTGAGCTGCCAAGAGCTGCCGTGAGCAGTCGTCCAGAGGCCGGTGACAGATCTGCCTCACCCAGAAAGAGCGCAATGATAATACCAACATGGGCCAGTGAAGTGACGTCCTCCACAACTAGACTGAAGAACAAAAAAAGACAGCAACTTGTCTGTTCCCCTTCCCCTGATTCCCCAGCACTGTTCCCCTCCCCCAATTCCCCAATAAAATCTTAAAATATATATACGGTTCTTACCTAGAGAGGTTGTGCTTGAATCTGTGAGGTTCTATCCCTGATGGAACAGGGCAGGTCAACCTTGAAGACAGAAAGAGGTGGCCCTGATAAACTTAGGAAATCCCTAAAAAACAGACGTGTATTTGAATTGTCCAAAAGGAAGAAAAGAGTTAGCACAGAAAAGATCAAATTAACCATCCACTTTGGGTTACTCCAGAGCTGTCTTTGAATTCTGTACCACCCAAAGAAAACTTCATTTTGATAAATCTTTGGCTGTTAGAGTCAGTTTTAGTCTCCTGAGAACTTTTATTGCATCAAATGGGGAAGGCAACAGCTAAATAAAGGGAAAAATTACTTCTAATCATTCTTTATATGCAAGAGAAATACTATGATTGACTATTCACATGTCCAAATTATTTTCTTTATATATATAAATTAGTAGTGAAAAGGAATTTTGTGACTCAGATGTAGCAGGCCAATAGAAACTGATCTTAATATTGTTTTACCTTCATAAAATACTTTGAAATTTGCAAAGGATTTTCATGTATCATACCATATTTATTCCTCACCACAGTCCACTGAAAATGCCCAAAGCCTCTTTTCCTTAACATTTATTTGTGTAACATAGGTATAAACCTCATGCTCCTAGAAAACTTGCTATAGTTTTTGCTTTGGTTTGACAGGAAATTACAAAAAACTTTGTATATCAGTTTTCTCCATCAGTAATTTGGGGACTTGCAATGTTCATTTAAATAAACTAGTCAAGATAATTTTATCAGTGAAAGTTTTATAATTCATTGAAATGAGAGCTAAATTTGGAACTGTTAACTCAGCTATGCAGACCATTTTACTGTAGGCATCGCACCACAGCAGGCACTCAGTGTACTCTTGGTTTAAATGGAAAAGACAACTCACTGCACTCAGGACAGTACTGGCCAAGCCAGCTTGTATAATCCACAGCTTTGTGGCCAGGATTGCAGAAGTATGGCTTCTGCTTCTGTCAAGGGAGAAATAATAAGCAGCTGAGCAGATGAAAAAGAAAAAAAAAAAAGCCTTGCTGTTACCTGAAATTGCACTGGCTTTGGCTTGTCCAAGAGCGATTTCCCATTTCAAAGTCAGTTTATGAGTATTGACCATACCAGAATAATCAGAATTCTCTGCAGCTTGCTGAAGGGTGAGTCAGGATTCTGAATTCTGGCTGCAGTGCTGGGGAAATGGAAACACCAGTGAAGTAGTAAATCATGATATCAGCAGTTTTTGAGGGCTGGTCAAAATGCTGAAAAATATGGTTATGTAATACAGTAAATACATCTAAATGCCCTCCAAAAATGAGGTAAAGGATTTGCTAAAAACAATTCTAAGGGCTCATAGCACCTATCCTCAAGCAAGGAGAAGTTTTGATAAGTTTTGCCTAGCATCCAATGTGCCGCCATTTAAGCACATTGCTGACATTTAACAGATGTGAAGGCAATGCTACAAAGTGTGGGGGTGCATAGTCTCCCCAAACTCAATGTGGGAAGCCCTGAATGGCATTCACTAAATGAAACTCTTCTGTCCCTTTATCAGTGATCCAAATCCAAGTTTCAGAAACTCTCTGTCAATTCCTAAACTTCACATCACTTTGAGAAACAATGCTCATCAAAATGTCAACACAGGGCCAGCCGAGTGGCGCAATGGTTAAGAACTGGCTTGGGACGCCAGAGGGCCCAGGTTCGGATCCCACATATGAGGACCAGTGACACTGTCCTTCACAGCTAAGATGCTGAACATACAGCTCAACCTGGAGCTGGGCTGCCGTGAGTCGCCGGCGATGGCGTAGGCTGCAGCCCCT